GCATGGAATGTTCTTCCATTTGTTTGTGTCCTCTTTTATTTCATTGAGCAGTGGTTTGTAGTTCTTCTTGAAGAGGTCTTTTATATCCCTTGTAAGTTGGATTCCTAGGTATTTTATTCTCTTTGTAGCAATTGTAAATGGGAGTTCACTCATGATTTGGCTCTCTGTTTGTCTGTTATTGGTGTATAGGAATGCTTGTGATTTTTGCACTTTGATTTTGTATCCCAAGACTTTGCTGAAGTTGCTTTTCAGCTTAAGGAGATTTGGGGCTGAGACGATGGGGTTTTCTAAATATACAATCATGTCATCTGCAAACAGGGACAATTTGACTTCTTCTTTTCCTAACTGAATACCCTTTATTTCTTTGTCTTGCCTGATTTCCCTAGCCAGAACTTCCAACACTATGTTGAATAGGAGTGGCGAGAGAGGGCATCCTTCTCTTGTGCCAGCTTTCAAAGGGAATGCTTCCAGTTTTTGCCCATTCAGTATGATATTGGCTGTGGGTTTGTCATAAATAGCTCTTATTATTTTGAGATACATTCCATCAATACCTAGTTTATTGAGAGTTTTTCATGAAGGGGTGTTGAATTTTGTCAAAGGCCTTTTCTGCATCTATTGAGATAATCATGTGGTTTTTGTCATTGGTTCTGTTTATGTGATGGATCACGTGTATTGATTTGCATATGTTGAGCCAGCCTTGCATCCCAGGGATGAAGCCAACTTGATTGTGGTGGGTAAACTTTTTGATGTGCTGCTGGATTTGGTTTGCCAGTATTTTATTGAGGATTTTTGCATCAATGTTCATCAGGGATATTGGTCTAAAATTCTCTTTTTTTGTTGTGTCTCTGCCAGGCTTTGGTATCAAGATGATGCTGGCCTCATAAAATGAGTTAGGGAGGATTCCCTTTTATTCTATTGATTGGAATAGTTTCAGAAGGAATGGTATCAGCTCCTCTTTGTACCTCTGGTAGAATTCAGCTGTGAATCTGTCTGGTCCTGGACTTTTTTTGGTTGGTAGGCTATTAATTATTGCCTCAATTTCAGAATATGTTCTTGGTCATTCAGAGATTCAACTTCTTCCTGGTTTAGTCTTGGGAGGGTGTATGTGTCCAGGAATTTATCCATTTCTTCTAAATTTTCTAGTTTATTTGCGTAGAGGTATTCTGCCTTCATTTCGTTATTTATCCAGTAGTCATTCAGGAGCAGATTGTTCAGTTTCCATGTAGTTGTGGGGATTTGAGTGAGTTTCTTAATCCTGAGTTGTAATTTGATTGCACTGTGGTCTGAGAGACAGTTTGTTGTGATTTATGTTCTTTTACATTTGCTGAGGAGTGTTTTACTTCCAATTATGTGGTCGATTTTAGAATAAGTGCAGTGTGATGCACTTATATATATATTCTGTTGATTTGGGGTGGAGAGTACTGTATAGATGCCTATTAGGCCCACTTGGTGCAGAACTGAGTTCAAGTCCTGGATATCCTTGTTAACTTTCTGTCTCGTTTATCTGTCTAATATTGACAGTGGGGTGTTAAAGTCTCCCATTATTATTATGTGGGAATCTAAGTCTCTTTGTAGGTCTCTAAGGGCTTGCTTTATGAATCTGGGTGCTCCTTATTGGATGCATATATATTTAGGATAGTTAGCTCTTCTTGTTGAATTGATCCCTTTACCATTTCATAATGGCCGCCTTTGTCTCTTTTTATCTTTGTTGGTTTAAAGTCTGTTTTACCAGAGACTAGGATTGCAACTCCTGCTTTTTTTTTGCTTTCCATTTGCTTGGTAGATCTTCCTCCATCCCTTAATTTTGAGCCTCTTTGTGTCACTGCATCTAAGATGGGTATCCTGAATACAGCACACTGATGGGTCTTGACTCTTTATCCAATTTACCAGTCTTTTTCTTTTAATTGGGGCATTTAGACCATTTGCATGTAAGGTTAATATTGTTATGTGGGAATTTGATCCTGTCATAATGTTAGCTGGTTATTTTGCCTGTTAATTGATGCAGTTTCTTCATAGCATCGATAGTCTTTACAATTTGGCATGTTTTTGCAGTGGCTGGTACTGGTTGTTCCTTTCCATGTTTAGTGCTTCCTTCAGGAGCTCTTGTAAGGCAGGCCTGGTGGTGGTGACAAAAATCTCTCATCATTTGCTTGTCTGTAAAGGATTTTATTTCTCCTTCACTTATGAAGCTTAGCTTGGCTGGATATGAGATTCTGGCTTGAAAATTCTTTTCTTTAAGAATGTTTAATATTGGCTGCCACTCTCTTGTGGCTTGTAGGGTTCCTGCCGAGAGATCCGCTGTTAGTCTGATGGGCTTCCCTTTGTTGGTAACCCGACCTTTCTCTCTGGCTGCCCTTAACATTGTTTCCTTCATTTCAACCTTGGTGAATCTGACAATTATGTGCCTTGGGGTTGCTCTTCTCAAGGAGTATCTTTGTGGTGTTCTCTGTATTTCCTGCATTTGAATGTTGGCCTGCCTTGCTAGGTTAGGGAAGTTCTTCTGGATAATATCCTGAAGAGTGTTTTCTAACTTGGTTCCATCCTCCCCATCACTTTCAGGTACACCAATGAAACGTAGATTTCATCTTTTCACATATTCCCATATTTCTTGGAGGCTTTGTTAGTTTCTTTTTACTCTTTTTTCTCTAATCTTGTCTTTTTGCTTTATTTCATTAATTTGATCTTCAATCAGTGATGTCCTTTCTTCCACTTGATCGAATCCGCTATTGAAGCTTTTGCATGTGTCCCGAAGTTCTCATGCTGTGGTCTTCAGCTCCATCAGGTCAAAGTCTTCTCTACACTGTTTATTCTAGTTAGCCATTCGTCTAATCTTTTTTCAAGGTTTTTAGCTTCCTTGTGATGAGTTAGAACATGTTCCTTTAGCTTGTAGAAGTTTGTCATTACTGACCTACTGAAGCCTACTTCTGTCAACTTGTCAAAGTAATTTTCTGTCCAATTTTGTTCCGTTGCTGGCAAGGAGCTGCAACCCTTTGGAGGAGAAGAGGTGCTCTGATGTTTGAAATTTCCAGCTTTTCTGCTCTGGTTTCTCCCCATCTTTGTGGTTTTATCTATTTTTGGTCTTTGATGTTGGTGACCTACAGATAGGGTTTTGGTGTGGATGTCCTTTTTGTTGATGTTGGTGCTATTCCTTTCTGTTTGTTAGTTTTCCTTCTAACAGTGAGGCCCCTCAGCTGCAGGTCTGTTGGAGTTTGCTGGAGGTCCACTCCAGACCCTGTTTGCCTGGGTATCACCAGTGGAGGCTGCAGAACAGTGAATATTGCAGAACGGTAAATATTGCAGAACATTAAATATTGCTGCCTGATCCTTTCTCTGGAATCTTTGTCCCAGAGGGGCACCTACCTGTTTGAGATGTCTGTTGGCCTCTACTGGGAGTCTCCCAGTCAGGCTACATGGGGGTCGGGGACCCACTTAAGGAGGCAGTCTGTCCATTCTCTGAACTCGAACGCCATGCTGGGAGAACCACTGCTGTCTTCAGAGCTGTCAGACAGGGATGTTTAGGTCTGTAGAAGTTTTCTCGTGCCTTTTGTTCAGCTGTGCCCTGCCCACAGAGGTTGAACATATAGAGGCAGTAGGCCTTGCTGAGCTGTGGTGGGCTCTGCCAGTTTAAGCTTCCTGGATGCTTTGTTTACCTACTCAAGCCTCAGCAATGGTGGATGCCCCTCCCCCTGCCAGGCTGCAGCCTTGCAGGTCGATTTCAGACTGTTGTGCTAGCAGTGAGCATGGCTCCGTGGGCATGGCACCTGCCGAGCCAGGCACAGGAGGGAATCTCCTGGTGTGCTGGTTGCTAAGACCTTGGGCGAAGTGCAGTATTTTCCAGGTACAGTCTGTCACAGCCTCCCTTGGCTAGGAAAGGGAAATCCCTCAACCCCATGCCCTTCACAGGTGAGGGGATGCCCCGCGCTGCTTTGGCTTGCCCACTGTGGGCTGCACCCACTGTCCAACCAGTCCCATTGAGATGAACCAGATACCTCAGTTGGAAATGCAGAAATCACCTGTCTTCTGCATCAATCTCGCTGGGAGCTGCAGACTGGAGCTGTTCCTATTTGGCCATCTTGGAGGCAACCTCCAAATCTAAACTTCTATATGTTAAAAAATTTTAAGGGCAAAATGACAAAGATGTAAAATGTTTGCAATAAGATTGCAAAGAATTAATTAACATCTCTAGAATATAAAGTGCTTATATGTACCAATAAGTAAAAAAATTACTTTCTCAATAGAAAAATGAGCAAAGTCCATTTGACAAATAGATACTTCACTGAAAAAGAAATTCAAGTGGCTTATAAAATCTATGAGAAAACAGAATTCCTTATTAACTGTCAAAGAAAAATAAATGTGCATAACAGTGTTCATTCAGGTGTGACTTTTATATAAGAAACAAAGTTGGGACAACTTACATGTCCAGTATAAAAGGATGGTTGAAACTGTCTGGTTTGTCTATTTGGAGGAATATTATCGAGCCATGAAAAGAGTCAGATTTTAGAAGAATAATGACATGGACAAAAGCTCATGATGCAATGTGAAGAGGAAAAGAGTGCACAGAAAACAATGCTGTCATGATCTCATTTTTTTAAAAAGCCTGTTTACTGAGAAAATAGACTTTTGGCAGCAAAACTTGATCTGAACTGACGTGAAGCTATCCACTTTCTGTTACTTTTCTAGGCAAAAAACAAAACAAAACAAAACCAAGAACCTGATTTGTTAAAAGCTTTCAGGATAAAGCAAAAGATCATATTAAATTCTAAAGTAAGAGCTATCTTTAGTACAGTGTATTTTGCCTGAATCAAATCAACAGACCTTATTTTAATATAAATAAATGACAGGTTTTGAAGATAGATCTTTTTAAGTATAAGAGTGTGCTATATAAAGGTACCATATGTCTACTTCAATTCTGTGTATTAGAAGAACTAGGCTTTAGATTCAAATATATATACTGTATATACTGATTTCACAAGTAATATGTAATGAAAATTATTTTCCAGTTTAATGAACATTATTCTGCAAGAAATCTAAATCCTCTGTCATCAGAGCAAGAGATTGGTAAGTTGTTTGAAGTTTGTTACACTTAAAAACATGTTAACTCGTTAGTATAGTATTTAGTTTCTCTAACTTATTTTCTTAGGTGCTCAATTTATTCTTTAGAAATTACTGTTACTTCTGCACTACTCACTGATATTATTTTCTTTCTTTTTTAAAGCAATTTGCTTTTCTCACTACTCTATTAAAACTTACTTTCTCCAAGGTTATTGACCTCCCAATTATCAAACATTATGGGTATCTTGTATTTATTATCATATTAAGACTGTTTGCAACATTCGATATAGTTGATTATTTCCATCGTTTTTCTGTAATTTTTGGATTTCCTTTTCTCTCTTTGATACTTTTAATTGGATATTCTTTCTTTATTTTTCCTTTGATTGATTAATTCATTCAACATATGAATATAAATGTGTATGTGTATTATATTTTTTGTATCAGGTATGCTTTTGGGCTCTGGTGACAGAACAGTGGACAAGGATGAAAAATTTTCATATGGTTTATGTTCTAGTGTGAGAAACTGAAAATAGACAAATAAATCAATGTATAATTTATCAGATAGTACACTAAACAATTGTTATGGACTTGAATAGTCAGACTCACGTATTATGATTTTTAATCTAATATTACCTTTATGTTATAGAATGATACAAGATAAGAGATAATGGTAGGTACAGCATCCTTGTTTCATTGAAAGGATCACCAACTACCCAAGTAATACACCTTCTTTTGCCACTGCCACCCAAGGAACATGTCAGGCTGCTGTGGACAAAAGGCATATTTCATGTAGGTCACCTTGACACAAGAGAGATGTAACTTCAATTTCACACCAGTCTTTTATACTTTTCTAGTCATGACGCCCAAGGCCTGTATGCTAACTCATAGCTCCTCTAATTCAGGTGCAGTCTCACACAGCAGACTAGATACATAAAACATTCTATGTTTACCTTAATTCTGTGAAAACAGTGCTGTGGGAAGTCAGGCTTCAAGTTCATTTTTCCAGGTGGGCTTGAATCTGCCCAGGCTTGATGTTAATGCTTTACTTATTATTGGTGATAAACACTATGCAGCAAAGTAATGTATAGTAAGGGAAATGGGGAATACTTGGATTGGGAAAGTGATTGCTGTATTGCAAGGGAGTCAGGAAAGGCATCACTAAAAGTCAACATTGAGCAGAAGGAGGTGCAGATACAAGCTACTGGGAAAAGTGTTCCAAGCAAAGGGCAAAAAAGTCTTGAAATGGGAACATACCTAGTATGTTCACTGAAAATTAGTTAAATTGGTATGCTTTGTGGAATAAGGAAGGAGAGACTGGTGGGAGATTAAATCCAAGAGGTGGATAGAGCAAATCATGTGGGACCTTTAGATCATTAAGGACTTTGGGGGTTTTTTTCTGAGTGAGATGGAAAGCCTCTGGAAGGTTTTAAGTAAAGGACTGAAGTGATCTGACAGGTTTTAAAAGGGTTATTCTGGCTGCTATGTGGAGAACAGACTATGGAAACAAGGGCAAAAGCAGGGAAAGGTCAGGAAGCTATAAAATGACACAAAGTGAGAACTGATGAGTAGTAGTAGAAGTGGTGAGAAGATGTCAGATTTTGGTTACAAAGTGTTCTGAAGATAGAGCTGGAAGAATTTGCTTATGGACTGGATATAAGGATTGAGAGAGAGAAACAAGGATTGTGCCGTGGTTTTGACATGAATAACTTGGAATGGAGTTGCCATTTATAGAAATATGGAAGGCTGTAAGAGTAATTTGAGATTGAGGAGCCAGGGGTTTCATTTAGGAAGTGTTTTAATTGAAAAGCCTATTTATTAGATATCTAAGTGAAAGTAAAGTAGGAAATTGTACATGTGAATTTGTAATTCAGTGAGATGGAGACACAGATTTTGGAATTTTTATAAATGGTATTTAATGCTATGAGATCAGAATGAATCTACCAATTGTATTTATTAAATGTCTACCACCTAAAAATTTAAATCTATTTACATCCTCTTTTTTGAGACAGAGTTTCACTCTTGTTGCCCAGGCTGGAGTGCAATGGCACGATCTCGGCTCACAGCAACCTCCGCCTCCTGGGTTCAAGCGATTCTCCTGCCTCAGCCTCCCGAGTAGCTGGGATTACAGGCACCCACCACCATGCCCAGCAAATTTTTTGTATTTTTGGTGGAGATGGGGTTTCACTATGTTGGCCAGGCTGGTCTCAAATTCCTGACCTCAGGCGATCCACCCACCTCCACCTCCCAAAGTGCTGGGATCACAGGTGTGAGCCACCGTGTGCAACCCACATCCTCTTTTTTGACACTCTCATTCATTTGACACTCATTCACTTCAGTGTTTTCAAATATACTACATACAGATAATGACCAAATTTATATCTTGCTGCACTAACTTCTAAACTCTAGGACCTTATTTCTGATTGTACAGTTTAAATGTCTTCAGACATCTTTTGACATTAAAAACTCAGTGTAGCTGAAATCAAACTTGTTCTCCTTCTGATGTCCCTGATGGTATCTCCATTATTCTAGCTTTTAATGTTTGGAGCATAGTAACAATTTTAACTTCTCTCTGTGACTGTGACTACATTCAACTATTCATCAAGTTCTGTCAGTTCTCTCTCTTAAATATTTATTTTTATTTCTATTTTCATGGAAACCATTATATTTCAGAGTCTTACTATTCACTTGGACTGTTACAATAACATCCTAATTGGTGTTTTCCATTTTTCAGCTTATGTATAGATCACAGCTTACTTAATTAACCTTCAGTGCCCATAATGTTGGCCATATCGTCACTGCCCTAATCAGATACCTTCAAGTGACTCCCCCATTGACTATCAAATTATGCTTCTACTTTTCTAATTTAGCTCCAACTACCTGTTTTGTTTTTTATTGGTATATAGTTGTACATATTTATGGGGTCCATGTGATATTTTCATACCTGCATACAATGTGTAATGATCAAATCAAGGTAATTGGAATATCCATCACCTCAGACATTTATCATTTCTTTGTGTGGGGAACATTCCAAATCTTCTCTTCTAGCTATGTCAAAATATACTATAGATCCTTGTAAACCATACTACTACTCTATAACTTATTCTTAAATTCCATACTAGAACTTATTCCTTTCATCTAACTGATTTTTATACTCATTAACCAATCTCTATTCATCCCCCAACATACCTCTTAAGCCTTTTATCTTATAAGAGTAACCTGCGCTTTGACCAGACTCTGGAACTCAGTGTGTCTCAAGTATGCCCACAATTTCTTACCTGCTTTTTACTGCTTGCAGTCCTCAGCTTATATCTCTATCTTTCAAGATAGAATTCTTTTCCATAATACCTTTTATTTATCCCCTCAACCTTCTTTTTCAAAAAGATCTCTCCCTCTCTTTTCTGAATATCTCTTCTTTTTTATACTTTTTAGCATTCTACCATCATTATTTATAAATAGATACGAAGTCTTCTCTAGATCACAGGTTTTTTGAGGGCAGGGATTTTTAAATGTACCTTTGAATTCCCCACAGCACCTATAATGCTGCCTTGCACAGTAATGTGTTCTTTTATTTACAGTGATCATATGAGTTTTATGAAGACTTCATATGAACTTCTTGTGAAATTAAAAACAAAATCAAATTCATTTATTCAAAAGGAAATTCAAGATTTTAGTTCTTTTTGGATCTGTGTTTCCATTATACCTATTTTTCTTTAAGTCATATGGATGTGTACTGAGAAATACACATAGTCAAAAAAAATAAAGTGAGAAAGGGAGAAGGGAAGAACACAAGTATCTGGTAGTCAGTCTGTCCATCTATCCATCTGTCTGTCCATCCATCCATCTATCCAGCCATCTTATTGCTGGTTGGTTTGGTTCTATTTAGGGTGAAATAACTGAGATGTTTAAAAATAAAAATAAAGTTATTAAATATATGAAAGTTAAAAAAATATATGAAACATTCAAAGTGATGCAAAGTAAATTATTTTGCTTAATATGCTATTTGATTAATTCTATATAAAAATAGATATTTTAAAAGACTTGTTTCAAGTACATATTTGATTACTGTAGATTCAAAATTATTTAATAATTTTAAATTAGAATTAGGATGTTGAAAATATATTTGTATATTTATAATTTTATTAATAAGTAATATAATAAATTAAGAACAGTATTTTTCCTTAATGGCAATTCTGGGCTTCATCAACCAGAGCTACATTTAAAGCTTATTTTAAAAATTCCTTTTGGAACTCTTTTTAATGTTCTGTCAGTTTCCTTGAACAATGCCATGGACAGTATATTGTAGTGACTCAATAAATAATAGTTGAATAAGTTTAACTTATACAGTATCTCTCAGATTCAGCATTTTTTCCTCCATTACCATCGCTATGATTGTAGATAAGGTCAGCCTTTCATTACGTCTTTACTGGACAATGGACTTTTATTTTATTTTGGTTAGTCCCACTTCTAGACTCTCTTGTTCCAGCCTTTATACCTATTCTCTCCTGAATAATACTTACACAGCAGTTCAAATCATGTCATACCTCTGCTTGAAAATCTTCAATGAATTCTTTTTATCTACTAAATAAAGTCCAGATTCCATAGTGGGGCATTCAGCAATCTTTCCAAGCTCATCTTCATTAATTTCCGCTTAATACATCTTTATTATTTCTCACTGCTCCTGCTAAGCTGAATAGATTTCTGTTACTCTAATGCATCCTTTGCATGTCTGTTTCTGTGCCTCTGTATCATTCTCTTCATTTGAGGCGTTTTATTCCACTTTTTACTTTTTATACTAGTTCTTTACATACTAGAGTTCAAATTACTTGAAAATAGGGTTTAAGTTTGAGTCTGTTTTAATCTTCATAGTACCAAGGACAATGCCTTGCACTTAAGAGGAATACAGTTAAATACCTGCTAAATAGAAGAATGATTGAGTGTTACCATATTTATTGTATGCAGTATGCTATAATTCAGTAGGTTATAAAAATTTTATATAAGATGAAGAGCATGACATTGTAATGTTTATCTTCCTTAGGAAACTTATTTGAGAAGCCAGAAGGAGAAGATGGCTTTACATTTTCTTTTCCATCAGACACTTCAACTCATACATTTGGAGCTGGAAAAGATGATTTTAGTTTTCCATTTTCATTTGGACAGGGTCAAAATTCAATACCTTCTTCTTCTTTAAAAGGTTTTTCATCTTCCTCACAAAATACAACACAGTTTACTTTTTTTTGAGCTAGTCATTAATTCCTTGAATTATTTTACTGTTCTGTATTCATGAGGGCATAAATTTACATTATTGCTTAAAACATGAAGACTGCTTTATTTTGTTGATTAAAGCAGTAATGTTTACATTGTTTGATTATATTTATTGAAATATTGAAATACTGAATATTTTGGGTTTTGTGTGTGCTATTAACTAATTTATTTTGGTTTGGATTTTGTGAGCCATGTTCAGGTAGAACTTTTATTAATCTTAATATAATTTGAGGCTTTTTTCATTACTCTTTATTTTAAATATTAAGCCTGCTTCTCCTTGGAACCTAAGGTTTTTTCTGGTAGTATTGTTGGTACTTTGATAAGAACAAGAACTGCAGTAGTAACTCCAGAGTTAGTGCTGAAGTGTACTGTAGCTACTAAGAATTTCTTTTAAAATTATTGGGATTCACTTCTGCTTCACTATGTAGTATACAGAGTGGTACTATAATAATAATTTCAAATAATTTATGTTAATAACAAAATCTGTGTTATTTTCTTCTAATATAACACATGGTACAATTCTAATTTTATGAGTCATGCTAATGCCTTCAATGGATAAAAATTAAATGTGAAGGGCAAGAGTAATTTCTGAAAATTGGATTGTTGTATCAGTGGTGATCCTGTTAATGTTTTTTGCTTAAATATTTTTTGAGGAACATTTAAAATTTTGTCTCCATCAATAAAAAACAATTTCATCTTTATGTTTTGTGTTCAGTATTTTTCAATTAGTTATATAGCTTACATAAAGACATTTAACATTTGATGAACTTCTGTAAACATTTTGCTCAATATCATTGTATTTTGTGCTTTGTAAATTAGCTATATTGAGTTACCAAGTACTAAAGAGTTTGACTCCTTATTTTGATGTGACTGTTGATGAGTTTTTAAACCTAACCCCTTCTTTTCTCTTTCTACCCCACATCTGGTCAAGTTGATCAGAAAGCCTGGTTGCTTCTTCCTTTGGTGCCAGTAGGAAGTTCAAACCACATATGGGAGCCCCCACCCAGACCCACCCCCTAACTACCATAAAAACTGAAAGCCAATCTTCTTTCCCTACTTCTCAAGCTATTTTTCAGTTCAGCTTAGGAGGCCTGCCCAGCTCTCCCTAGAAGGCCTTAATATATGACTAGAAAAATCTTTTAATACCCTATTGGGATGTGTGGCATCATCAGTTTCAATATGCAGATCAAATTTTGGGTAAGGGTCTATACTGCTTCTTCAGGGTATCTACAAATTATCACAGTTGTATTACATTAAGCTGTCTCAAAGACTTAAAAAGGATCTCCATCTAACTAATGATAGACTTCAAGAAAATTTTAGACTCTGTTAAAAAAGAACCATCAAACTTTCAACAACTGCTTAAAAGATGAAAATTTCAGTTAAAAAGCTGGATTTTCTTAGTTTTTTAAACAGGTATTTATCTTATTGACTCTATGATTGAATTAATTGGTAGTTTTGATATAATAAAGACATTGGCTATATATGAGACAGGAGAAAAAGTTATAGTTTGTTTGTTTATTGAGAAATTCAAAACTAGTTTTAGCCTTGAATGATTCAGTGATTCCATGATTTATTTTTACTTTAAATAGAGTAATGTCTAGCACATCAGTATGGTTATATTTATCATGTATCAATAAGTGATATGAAATAAGTATTTTAAAAGTATCTACAGTGCACATGGCATTTTGACAGCATATAAAAGACTAGAACACAGATGTGGTCTTATACTCAAGGAACTTATAACTTGATTCAGTAGACAAAACTTGGGAAATAACAAAAGCACATTATAATAACTATATTATAACGATAATATAACTATGTTATTAAAACAATAATATAATAACTATATTATTATAATGTGACTTTTGTTATAGAAGAGACCAAGCGCTTTAAGAATGAGGGGAAAAAGGTCATCATGGACTGGAAAACCTGGGAAGGATTCACCAAAGAGGTAGAATTGAATTAGGACTTTATAGGTATGTAGATTGTAAAATTTTCAAGTGTAAGACTGATGCTTTTTTAGCCTTTCATGTTTTAATTACCTAACTAGTTGTTAGTCTTTAGTAGGATTGCATTAAACAATTATTGAATTAATAGAATTTAACTGAATTGGTAAAGGAGACAGAGCTTTCTAGATAAGGGGACTAATATGATCAAAAGAAAAATGCAATCACATATTTACTATTAATATGTGTAGAGGAAATTAAAGAATAGACCTAACTGGAATGAAGAATAATATCAGGAAATTGAGTTTAATAGATATGTGTTGCAGGAAGTCAGGGACCCCAAATGGAGGGACCAGCTGAAGCCATGGCAGAACATAAATTGTGAAGATTTCATGGACATGTATTAGTTCCCCAAATTAATACTTTTATAATTTCTTACACCATCTTTACTGCAATCTTTGAACATAAATTGTGAAGATTTCATGGACATTTATCACTTCCCCAGTCAATATTCTTGTGATTTCCTATGCCTGTCTTTAATCTCTTAATCCTGTCATCTTATTAAGCTGAGGATGTATGTCACCTCAGGACCCTGTGATAATTGCTTTAACTGCACAAATTGTTCATAAAGCGTGTGTGTTTGAACAATATGAAATCTGGGCACCTTAAGAACAGGATAACAGTGATTTTCAGGGAACAAGGGAGATAACCTTAAAGTCCGGCTGCCTGTGGGCCGGGCAGGACAGAACCATATTTCTCCTATTACCAAAAATGGGTAAGAGAAATATCGCTTAATTCTTTCTCCAGTAAGGAATGTTAATAATTAACAGCCCTGGGAAAAGAATGCATTCCCGGGGCGGGGGCTCTAAAATGGTCACCCTAGGAATATCTGCCTTATGCAGTTGCAGATAAGGGATGAAACATGCCCTGGCCTCCTGCAGTGCCCCCAGGCTTGCTAGGATTAGGAAATTCCAGCCTGACGAATTCTAGTCAGACTGGTTCTCTGCTCTTGAACCCTGTTAAAATGTTTATCAATGACAATACAAGCACAACGGGACAGGAAACCTCATCAGTAATGCTAATTTTGCCTTCACCTTGTGACCTTGCCCTGACCATTTGCCTTGTGATATTTTGTTACCTTGTGAAGCATGTGATCTCTGTGACCCACACCCTATTCATATACTCCCTCCCCTTTGAAAATGACTAATAAAAACTTGCTGGTTTTGTGGCTTGGAGGGCATCACGGAACCTGCCGACACGTGATGTCTCCCCCAGACACCCAGCCTTAAAATTTCTCTCTTTTGTACTCTTTCCCCTTATTTCTCAGACCGGCTGACAGTCACGGAAAATAGAAAAGAACCTGCATGAAATATTGGGGTTCCCCTGATAGATATGATAGGATTGATTTATAGAGGATCTTGAAATGTTTTGACTTGGTTTCTGAGGCCAATACAGAACTTGTATTTTAATGTCAGAGTTTCAAGAGAAAATAAATGACTAGGAAAATTAAACTTACAATACAGCCACAGTTAGGAGAAATTAGAGTTGGATAAACAAATTAGGAGTCAATTGCAGTGGTCCAAGTGTGTAGTGATATGTTCCAGGTGATAACAACTGATTGTCTTGTGGTTTCACACTGCTGACATCTCAAATTGAAAAAATATATCTTGTTTAAAAGAAATACATTTGATTGAACACCATCTGAGCATAAGGTAAAAGGAGAAAGGAACCAGAGTTGTTTGTGTTTGAATATCATAGCTTATCCAACTAGTAGAGGCATATGCAATGTTTCAAATACAAATCACAAAAATAACTTTGTGTAATCAAATAGCCTTATAAAGATAACTTTTAAAAGAGAATTATTCCCCTAGAGACAAATCAAATATTCTATCACCTTTAAAATAGGAGTTTGTTCCCACTTCTATTCAGTGAGATTTCAGAAATAAGGGGTCTAGCCCCAGAGCTCTCTGTTAAATTTAGAAGAAAAATAGCCACTGTATATTTAATTTTGTTTAGGTCCAAAAAATCTATTTTAATATTGTTAAATGAATTTTTTCTCTATGATTAGAAAAGATATTCTAAGAATATAAGGGTAATACTCCAAAATCAGTTAAGACTCTTGATTTATTGTCACAAGAGGTATATGTATAAGCAGACAGTGGTTCCTGGCACATAACTGCTTCTCAGTGGACAGACCTAGGATCTGTCAGTAGACACACCTAGGAAATATATGTATGTATACTATATCTATATACATGTTTGTCGGTGTATCTAACTACTGAAAACAAAACACGAGTTTAGGCTGATAACTCTAGCAACAAGAGGTTCATCTAGTATTCCCCTTTGGTTTATTTGTAACTGCTTTCTCTGACAAGGAGAAACCTGGCTGTCATTAACTACAATTTATTTGCTTTCTTTTTCAGTCCTAGTATACGTGTAAAGTTCTTTCTAAATTGGTAACCCAGATGCTGTGATAAACAAATTTATCAACTAGGGTATGTTAGTGTTCTGTGACTGCTATAGCAAATTACCATAGCCTTTTTGGGTTGAAACAATAGGAATTCATTCTTTCATAGTTCCAGAGGCGGGGCATCCAAAATTGGTGTTACAGGTCAAAAATCCAGGTGTCAGCAGGATCATACTTTCAACCCTCTAGGGAAGGATCCATTCCTTTCTTCTTTAAGCTTTTGGTGCCTGCTAGCATTTCTTGGCTTATAGCTACATCACTCCAATTTTCAAAGCTAGTCAGAATTCGACAGAGAAATAGAACCAATAGCATCTATCTATCTGTCTATCTCTATCTATCTATCTGTCTATCTATCTATCTATCTATCTATCTAATCTATCCATCCATTCATCTAGATTTATTTTAAGGAATTGGTTGTTAAGATTGTGGAGGTGGCAAGTCTGAAATCTGTAGGACAAGCTGGCAGGCTAGAAATTCAGGTAAGAGTTGATGTTTCAGTTGAGTTCAATATCAACAGAGCAGACTAGGGAGGCTGGGAACTCAGGCAGGGTTTCTGTGTTGCAGTCTCAAGGTCAAATTCACTCTTTAGGAAACTTCAGTCTTTGCTCCTAAGGCCTTCAACTAATTGAATGCAGCCTACCCACATTATGGAGAGTTCTGCTTTACCCAAAGTCTACTAACTTAATCATATCTAAAAATACTTTTGCATCAACATCTAGAATGGTGTTTCACCAAACAACTGGGTACCATAGCATATCCAAATTGACATAAAATTAGCCACCATAGCCAGCATCTTCAAATTTCTCTTTGACCTGCCTTCACATGGCCTTCCCTCAGTGTATGAAATCTCTCCCACTGCCTCCCTTTTGTAATCGTAAATGTGATTGCATTTAGGGTCTATCTGGATGGATAGTTCAGATAATCTCCCCATTTCAAGATCTTTGACTTAACCACATCTGTAAAGCCCCATTTTTTCCCATATAGGTAACAATCACAGATTCCAGGGATTAGGTCATGGAAATCTTTTGGGGGGCCATTTTCAGCCTATTACATAAGATATAGTGTTTGTGTGTATTCTTTATCCAGTTACAGCAATATTTTCCAAAGTTACTTAAGTTAGCTCCTATCTTCTATACCCCCTTACATTTGATTGTGTCATTTATTTATAACACAGATTCATTTGTGGCCATCTACATTCCATCTTGGGTTTATCTGAATTACTTCTTGGTTTAAAAAATTGTATACAGTAAAATTCCTTCTGTAAACCAAAAATAAAATTCTAAGCTTG